TTTGGCTATATCAAAAATTAAGGAATACGTTTTCTAAAAGACTAGAGACAATATTCCTTTCAAGGTTTTTTATATCTGTGTGAAAAGTTTCAAACTGATAATTATTTCACAGCGATCACGTTACGTACTGGATTCAACTGTAACGGGTTATTTTTTTAATATTCGAATTAAAATAACGAAAGTTATTGTGATTTAAAATCGAAAAATATCATGGTAAATCAGCTCCTATTTTAAATTGAAAACATATTTTATCTCAGTTTTATATATATATATATATATATATAATATATAATCAAAATGTGTTAAGTACAAATAACATCGTGGGCCTCACTATATCGCCCCCAGGAACACAGTGGTATGTCTGCGGACTTATACTGCTAGAAACCGGGTTTCATTAGCCGTGGTGGGCAGAGCACAGATAACCCTTTATGCTTGATAACAAACAACAAGAACCTCACTATATCTACATTTATTGATACCTTAAAGGATGCTACATGTAAACTAAATACAGATGTTTTTAGCGTTTTCGTATTTGGATAAATAATCATGTTTCCAAGCATGGTCTAGAGTTTAGCGTGCCCAGAGAACTCAAACATTAAAGGTTCGCGTCTCATTGCCGCAAAAACACTTCTCGCTTTAAGGTCGTGGGTGTGTTATAAGAGTGACAAATATATCGCATTATTCGGTCAGACAAGAGTTGGTGTTGAGTGCTGCTGGCAATTTACCTTTACTTTAGTCTGTCCGTGCAACATTAGGGACGGCCATGTACAGATAGCTCTTGTGTAAATTTAGTCGAAAATTAAGATCATTCTAGAATACACTACAAATAATAATGTGTTTGTCTTTATCAGTGGCCAGATTTTGCTGTGCGTCATAAATTCTGGAGATATACTTCACTGTACGATTTATGTATATCATAAACTTATGTCAAGCTTTACTAGGGTTTCCAACTCTTGAATGTTTCGAAGTAGGACTTTTTTGTAAGGGACCGTCCACAAAGAACGTCACACGAGATACACCACTTTTTGATCCCCTCCCTCATCTTGTCACACTTGGTCACATGGATGTCCCGGCACTGAAGTAAATTAACACTTTGACAACAGTTAGTAGTAAAACATAAAACAAAAGAAACGTTTTACATATTTATTAATACTAAATAAAATGTTACAATACATATAATAAGAAAAATTGGCATTTTTTACTTGTATCGAAAAGTAGGACAGTTGGCAACCCTAAACTTTACCCAGAAAGTCTGGATTGAAAACAAAATGCACAGTTTATTTCATAGTGCTGCCATATGCATCACATATTCATTAAATGTGTGAATAAGAAGTATGGTGTTGAGATAGTACATACAGTAAATTTATTATTAGAGCTCAATATTGAATGTCATATTCTCTACCTGATTTAAAAACAACCTGTGTAAAAGTCTACACTATGAAGAAATAGTGCCTAAAAATCAACTGATAGTAATCAAACTGGAATCTCGGTAACGAGTTCGTTATACATAAATGTCTAACCGGTTTTGAAATTTTCTTGTCTCTATACGATGTAATAAATCATGAATAGTTTGTTATTGTGTCCTTGTTATCTTTTACTACCTCTAAATTTGCTTATTGGGCTAGGCGTGGTCTAGTGTTAGCGTGCCAAACTTTGAATTCGAGGATCAATTGTTCACGTCCTGTTATCAAAAAATCGCGCTCCAGTTGGGGGCCGTGGGTGCATTATAAGAGTAACGATCAAATCCCAGTTTTCGATTAGGGTAGCCTATGTATTGGCGGTTGATCATATTGACTAGCTGTTTTCTCTCCATTATATCAGTTGAAAATTAAGGACGGATGGTGTTTTGCGCGAATATTCGAAACACGACACGTACACGTGCACTGTGTTATTATTGTTTTCTTAACAACGCATTAAACGAGTAAAAAATGGACTTTCTAGGTATATTCATAAAACACGAACCACAATATAATGAGTTAATAACAATAAGATCTGTAATGAATAACTCGAACTGTCTGTCCTCCGGTGGACAGCGGTAAGTTACCGGCACTCCTTTAGTACACCCACGACCCCAAAATGCAAAGCGCGTGTTTGTGGTAACGAGCCGCAGATCATGATTTCTCTGATTCACAGTTCGAGCACGTTAACCATTAGGCCATACTTAACCAATAAAGAGGTTTAAACCAACATTTAATACAAAGCTTAGTCGTAGCTGTGGGAGCATAAAATGAAATTTAGTTATTATTTTACGTATCAGTATCATTTAGTACTAATATGATACATATTAAAACATTCGAGTTTCAAATATTTACAAATATGACTACTGTACATAAAAATGTCAGTAAAATGTTGATAGAAAAAAATCAAAGGAAAATGTTTTGTAATACTAACAAGAAAGAAATGAAAGTAGAAAGAAAGAAAACTTGTGTGTAGAAATAGAAGAAAAAAAGAGTTCGTAGAGAAACAATAAAACCAGAAAGATAGAATGTAAAAAAGAGTTAGTTAAGAAAGGAATACAATGATATAAAAACTGTTATTGTGGTAAATATGTTTGTATTGGGTGTATAAACGTTGGTTTAGTCTTGATGACCTAACTTGACGGTATTTCTAATGTACTGTCTTCACAACACTACGGTGTCCTAGTACACATTAGATGGTTTTCACAAACAACTTTGTTGAAAGTATATGTTTGTGTTTTCTTCTCACCGGAAGTATGGAAGTGAAGTCAAGGGTAAATTGGAATGTCGAGACCTCCTTACTCCCACCTCCCTTCTTTTATACCTTTGCTCCTTTTATTTTTTTTTCATGGTTCTATTGGTCAGTACGGTTGAGTGCAGCATAAATCATGCACGTGAGGTCAAAAGTGCAAGAAGGATTTATTCAACAACCTAACCTTTAAAATATTAAAAGTAAGTTCCATCAATTGAAAAAAAAAAGTTTGTTTTTTTTACCTATAGGTGTTGAAATCTCAAAGCTGGTAAAACGGGCCATATTTGTTTCATTCACCTGGATCATAGAAACCGGGTTTCGATTCCCGTGGTGGGCAGAGCAAAGATAGCCCATTATGTAGCTTTGTGCTTAACTACAAACAAACACCGGGATCTTCAACAGTTTTCCGTAACTTAACTGGTCTTTATGATTATTTGAAAAACGGACGGCTCGAGTCCTCCATGTAGGCCTCAGCCACAAACTTTTAAAATGTATGCGCAAAATAATCAATTACGAAAAGTCATATTTAGCTAGCTTAATATTTTACTCTAGTATGAACTATTATAATACAAACGGAAAACATTTACAGCTTTATTTTAATCTTCCAACTGTGAGTACTCTTTCTTTGCAGGGTTGCCAGATGCCACCCGGAAAATCTAGTAGTGATCCAATCCCCCCTCCCCCATTTATAAAATTCCTGTACCGGAGAGGGGGAGTTGCATATATATTATTGACCAGTCTACTTGCTTTTGATAAATTGTTAATTTCCCCATTAATTCATATTAAATTGATGAAATACTGAAAATATTAACTAAAATAACTAATAAAAGGCTGTCTTACCGATTGTATATCTGTCTCAGGAAATGGCACAGATACATTAAGAAACATGTTTCCTTTTAACCCAGGTTAAAAGTCTTCTCTTTTTTTCTTTATGTTTACCACTGTAGGCTCAAGCGTATATTTTTGTATTAATTTGTTATTATTATGTGTATTAATGTGCTATAACTAAGGAAATAGTTTTGTTTATATTTATTGTGGGGTACGGATATGAGTAATATTACTCAACGTCAATTTTTCGAGTACAAACTTGAATTAATTACACTTTGGGTGAATAATAATTGAATAAAGGGATTAATGTGACTGCACCTCGCGGGCTAAAAACCTTGAAATCAAATGAGGTATGTTTGTAGATTTGTTCTTTCAGTTTGAATTTATGATGATGATGATGACGATTATTATTATGGTTGTTATTGCTAATAATGATAATACATAAGGTATTACAGCTTTTTAAAGTTTTTTGGTGAATCAAGAACCATACAAAATCTGTATATTACGTATTATCTAGTATACTCATTACACTTGTTATGTTTACTTTGGGAAGAAAAGGGGTAGAGTGTAAGGCGGAACATAATGGCAAAATGGCTTACACTATAGCTAGTGAAGTAGTCCATCACTCTAAGAAGGCAGGCTTAATATTGTAAAAGGTCACGAGAACACTATGGGAAATTTCAAAGGAGATCACTAGAGAGGAAATGTACCCCCCCCCATCCGTTTTTAGCATTAGCCTTTATTTGATCTCCTCTCCCCCATATTTCCTCCATGCAACATTTCATCCAATTTTTCCCCATAGTTTTGATTTCCCCCTACAAATGAGAAGTTTACTCCCAGTCTAGCAAACTGGTTTGTGTGGGGCGTAAATCCAACCTAAACGTGTAAAGATTTGGCGTGAGTGATGACTTCTTGTTTTGCATATAGTTATATTCGTAGAGCTCAGTTAATTTTGATTTATTTTCAGTAAATCATATAGCTATACCGTAGAGCTCAGTTAATTTTGTTTATTTTCAGTAAATTATTTCTTACATATTTAATAAAGATCAAATATTATTTGTTTTTGTCGTTTTCTTGTCAAAAATACAGATATTATCAGAGTAATTATTATAAAAACATCTCTGATATCGTCTTACGTATGTTATTTATATGTGAAGTAATTAATTTCTTAAAGCAATACGTATTTAATATCTTTACACCTGAAGATCGTTTTAAATATTCATTTTATGCGTTTGAGTTTACACGTATTCTATTCTTGCACGTAATAAGTGATACGACAGTGAGAAAAATTCCAAAGATTAAACCACTTTTAAGACATTAAAATCGATACCTGATGTGATATTTGTATTTGAGTTCCAATAAGGCGTATCTGTGGACAGAAAGGAATATCCTTTCGCAGTATGCTTTATGTCTCCAAATGTGGCTTGGAAATACCATGCAAGACTTATAATGGACCTCTATATTTGTGACAGGGCTTCTTTTGGATGCAGCATGGCAAGCTCTTCTAATATACTGATGTTGGCTGGAAATTCATGAGCCATCTTCACCAGCATAGCCTTGGATTTTTCTTTCACTGCCTCAACGACAGTTTTGTCAGGAAAAGTGTCAGCATTGTAAAATCATACCCCAGGTACGTAGCAGCTGTGGGCTTGAGATACTTTTCAAAATTAAAGATGACCAGTGATGAAGGAGAAAAATTATCCAGGTGACCAGAATTAATTATTAGTTTCCACACTGACCAATAATACTGAGTCATATCCAGGAAAAGTTTGATTGAAACAGCTAGTTTGTTTTGTTCAGATCACTGATAGTTTGTTGTTTCAGTTTAAATTTATGATGATGACAATTTTTATTAGTATTGCTATAAATAATAATACTACAAGAGACGGTACAGATTTTCAAGGAAATTATTTGTTGTGAATCAATAGCCATACAGAATTGCATATTTACGTATTATCTTCTATATTCATTACAATAGAGTTATGTTTACTTTTAGAAAGTGGAAGGTAGTGTATGGCGGAACTTAATGAAATATGGCATGTGCTGTTGTTTAGTGAAGTAGTCCATCACTGTTAGAAGACAGACTTAATATTTTATAAGGTCATGAAAACTATGAGCATTTTCAATAGAAATCACTAGAAAGGAAATGATATCCATTTATAACATTAGCCCCTATTTGATTTGGGTTCGATTTTCCTTTAGAAATGAGGGATTTCACCCCAATCTGGTAACCGATTGGCACGTTGTATTTATTGTAGAGCTAGTCAGTAAGTGGAATTTGATAATCTATTAATCGTTGGACTTATTAATCGAATACATTCAACTAATCTATTAATCGTTAGGCTTATTAATCGAATACATTCAACTAATCTATTAATCGTTAGGCTTATTAATCGAATACATTCAACTAATCTATTAATCGTTGGACTTATTAATCGAATACATTCAACTAATCTATTAATCGTTAGGCTTATTAATCGAATACATTCTCTCATAGGAGAATAGATTAGTTGAATGTATTCGATTAATAAGTCCAACGATTAATAGATTAGTTGAATGTATTCGATTAATAAGTCCAACGATTAATAGATTAGTTGAATGTATTCGATTAATAAGTCCAACGATTAATCGATTAGTTGAATGTATTCGATTAATAAGTCCAACAATGAATAGATTAGTTGAATGTATTCGATTAATAAGCCTAACGATTAATATATTAGTTGAATGTATTCGATTAATAAGCCTAACGATTAATAGATTAGTTTTTGAGTAGTTGTAACAACCGGAAACATTAATTTCGATTAGGTAATTATTTTTGTGAGTTTTGATACTAATCAATTAAGCTGAACAACCTTGAACGGATCTATAATAATAATAATGAAAAGTCATAATAGAAACATCTATTTCTTTTTTTTTTCGTGACATTACCCAACGTTATCGTAATTTCGATTAATCGATTATTTTCTGTGACTCTTCTTCTTCGGCTTTTCCCCTTAGCGGGGTTCACTGTCCTTCACACATGCTGCTCTCCTCCAATCATCTTTATTTATTGCCAGGTCTTCTGCAATTCCTTTCTTATCCATATCTTCTTTAATTCCATCTTTCCAAAGTTTTCTAGCCTTCCCCGTCTTCTCCTGTCGGTTATCGGCAGCTCTAATGCTCCCCAGAGGGCATTTTGAGTATGATATGTAGATAATTAAAATGAAAAAAATTTGCTAACATATGTGCGTGTTTCCTAAACTAAAAAAAAATACATAATCGTTTACCGAACTGAAAGGGGAAAAATATATTTGTAAACCACAGTCGCCGTTTGAATTTCATTTCAGGAATCTTGATATCCAAAGTATTCCTGTTAAAGTTTCTTTTTATTGTGAAGTTTAACTTCTACTAACCCTCTTATAATTCGTGGCTACTTTCATTGAATGCTATATCCATGAGATTAGAAAGTTACACTTTCTATGTCATAGAGAAATTCGCGATGGAAAAAGTATTAAAACAACACCTACCCGATGTTCACAGGAATTCCAAACTCATTCTTGAAAGAATATTGAAATAAAATGATCAATTAAAAACATTATAAAAACATATTTTAGTTTGATTTAAGAGATTATTTTTTCTCTTCGTTGTAAAAACATTTGACGGAAAATTGTTAATTCAAACAAATTACAAAATTCTCACACATTACAAAACATACAACCCTCTAACAGGAAAATATTAATCAAAACAAATTGTAAAATATATCCCAAACTTTCTTAGATTGCGTTTGAGGTATTTGGATTTTGAAAGTTTTTCGATGAATTTATTTAATAAATCGCCACAATTATTATCGTTTTCTTTTACTTTACAATAAAAACTTGGAAACAAATTTCGAAACAAACTATTTTGAATAAAGCTTAACTTATAGACTCTGATATTGCCAAAAATACATGTTATAGCTTCCAGTTCACTTGCTTTTCATGATGTTTTTATCATCAGTTTCATACAGATGAAACATTCTGATAGCTTATATTATGTTACGTATTACAATTTCAAATAGCCTTAAACTGAGTTAAATTGTAATTTAGATTTAGTAGTTAAATATATGCCGATATGTATCCAATTTATGTTATTTGCCAACAAGATTGATACACACAGTTTTTTTTAATACAAATATATTTTAATACACAAACAATAATAAAATTTACAATACAGTTATTACAAATAGTTATTACAAACAATGATTTATATACAAAAGTTTTACAAACTTACAAGCAATATAAAGTCTTTTTTCTAGTCTGGAATTTCCTTGATATCTTATCGAGGGTTCACGATGAGCGAGTTAATTTCGAGATGTCTGTACAATTCACTTATTAGGGAGCTAGCTAGCTCTGTGAAATTCACTGAAAGCACGTCGATTTTTCCTACCGGTGACATTAGGTAATGTT